CCCAGGCATCGTGGCTCCCAGACTCCTGCCCTCTAACCAAAGACCCCACTCCGCTCCCGGAGAACCCAGGCGTCCTGGCTCCCAGACCCCTTCCCTCTAACCACTAGACCCCACTCCGCTCCCGGAGAACCCAGGCGTCCTGGCTCCCAGACCCCTTCCCTCTAACCACTAGACCCCACTCCCCTCCCGGAGAACCCAGGCGTCCTGGCTTCTTCTCTCTAACCACTAGACCCCACTCCCCTCCCGGAGAACCCAGGCGTCGTGGCTCCCAGGCTCCCTCCCTCTAACCACTAGACCCCACTCCCCTCCCGGAGAACCCAGGTGTCCTGGCTCCCAGACCCCTTCCCTCTAAACACTAGACCCCACTCCCCTCCTAGAGAACCCAGGCGTCGTGGCTCCCAGGCTCCCTCCCTCTAACCACTAGACCCCACTCCTCTCCCCTTGCCAAGGAGAGCACCCAGGCGTCCTGGCTCCCAGCCTGCCCTACTCACTCCATTTCACAGCTGCCACGGTTTCTGCGCACACGTGGGTGTTGTCTGGGCACAAGATCGTCTTCATCTTTTCTGGGCTGCAGCCCCCATCGCCGCGCTCCACGCAGCTGTGGCACTCCAGGGCCGTGGCTCCTGCGTGGGAGGGAAGGGGGAAGGGATCCCATGAAAGCTGGACTGGCCCCTGAACTCTCGGAGAATCTCACAAAGGCAGGCCGGGGGCGCCTTTCCCCAGGCGGCTTGGCATGGCCCTTTGCACGGCTCCCTCTCCTGTTTGCACGGATTCACACCTGACAGTGCAGAGTGGCCCTCTCCCCTTGCTGCACATTTCTGTGCGTAATTCCACCTGTACAATTTTCACCTTGCCCCTGTAACGGTGCACGTCACAGCACATGGAGGCACGGCAGCTGACGTGCCATGTTTCCTGGGGCCGTGCGAAAGTTACTCTGCAAACGTACAAAGGAAAAGTGGAAAATCAACAGCAAGTTACATGGAACCATGACACCTGACAGGTTCATTTTTCACCTGGCCCTTGCACTTCGGCTCACTAACGTGCACATTGCACCGGGTAATGCTGAATGCCTTTTTCGTGTAATTTTACATGCCAATTTTCACCTTTCTCACCTTCCTTGGCATGTCAGTTTGGACCCTTTCCTGGGTGACAGACTTCCCTGTCAGTTGTCACCTGTCCTCTCCTTGTGAATTGTTCCTCACACCACCCGTTCACCAGTGCACATGGGTCTGCCTGTGTTTCACGCCCATTTGCACCTTCATAGAAATGGGGGAGAAGGCACATTCCCTCTCCCCTGTTGCACTGGTTTTAATTCACTAGAAGTGTGCTCACTTTCCCACCTCTCTGGACCCTTCAGCTCTGTACATTTGCACAGCACATGGTCCCTTGCTGTGTTATTTTGATGGCAAATTTGAAGTCATTTGCGGCTTTTTCCTTTCCCCTTTGCTTGGTTTTCACCAGATGTTCTCACGGCCACATGAGGCTTCACTTTCTCCTTTGCACGGTTTTCACCAGGCGTCCCCACAGACAAGCCAGGCTTCACTTTCAACTTTGCACGGTTTTCACCAGACATTCTCACGGACACATGCAGGCTTCACTTTCTCCTTTGCCGGTTTTCACCAGGCGGCCCCACAGACAAGCCAGGCTTCACTTTCAACTTTGCACGGTTTTCACCAGACATTCTCACGGACACATGCAGGCTTCACTTTCTCCTTTGCACGGTTTTCACCAGACATTCCCACAGTCACACACACGCTTCACTTTCTCCTTTGCACGGTTTCTCCAGGCGTTCCCACGGACACGTGCAGGCTTCGCTGTCCCCTTTTCACCATTAGTCTGGGAACTTGCATTTGCACGTCTGTTTTGCACTCTTTCTTTCCTACGCTTTCAGGGTGGCAACTTACCCCGCTCCTCCAGCAGGTGCTGCGTCAGCTCCAACATGGGGTGACCTCACCCCAGGGTGAGGCTGGCGTCCCTGGGAGGAGCCTCCCAGCTGGCGTGGTGCCCCAGACCCGTTCCAGGTGGAGCCACCTGTCCCGACATGTTCAGCATCTCCACCCACTCCCAGGCCCAGGGCACTAGCAGCTTCCCCCCAGTCCCAGCAGGGAGCACTGAGTCAGCATCCAGCCCCCAGCATGGCGGAAGGGGGGGCTGTGGGCTAGGGTCCCCTCTCAAAGCGAAGGGACAGGAGACTCTAGAGGGGAAGGCCCTGACCCCATTCCCTGCCCTTCCGCCAGCCAGCCCCCTACTCTGGGGCAGGTATGGGACCAGCACCCCCTAGAGGGGAAAGGCCCCGTGTCCCATCCCCCATCCAGCCCGCTCCCCAGCCTGGGGGAGGTATGGGGCTGGCACCCCCTAGAGGGGAAAGGCCCCGTGTCCCATCCCCCATCCAGCCCGCCCCCCAGCCTGGGGCAGGTATGGGGCTGGCACCCCCTAGAGGGGAAAGGCCCCGTGTCCCATCCCCCATCCAGCCCGCCCCCCAGCCTGGGGCAGGTATGGGGCTGGCACCCCCTAGAGGGGAAAGGCCCCGTGTCCCATCCCCCATCCAGCCCGCCCCCCAGCCTGGGGCAGGTATGGGGCTGGCACCCCCTAGAGGGGAAAGGCCCCGTGTCCCATCCCCCATCCAGCCCGCCCCCCAGCCTGGGGCAGGTATGGGGCTGGCACCCCCTAGAGGGGAAAGGCCCCGTGTCCCATCCCCCATCCAGCCCGCCCCCCAGCCTGGGGCAGGTATGGGGCTGGCACCCCCTAGAGGGGAAAGGCCCCGTGTCCCATCCCCCATCCAGCCCGCCCCCCAGCCTGGGGCAGGTATGGGGCTGGCACCCCCTAGAGGGGAAAGGCCCCGTGTCCCATCCCCCATCCAGCCCGCCCCCCAGCCTGGGGCAGGTATGGGGCTGGCACCCCCTAGAGGGGAAAGGCCCCGTGTCCCATCCCCCATCCAGCCCGCCCCCCAGCCTGGGGCAGGTATGGGGCTGGCACCCCCTAGAGGGGAAAGGCCCCGTGTCCCATCCCCCATCCAGCCCGCCCCCCAGCCTGGGGCAGGTATGGGGCTGGCACCCCCTAGAGGGGAAAGGCCCCGTGTCCCATCCCCCATCCAGCCCGCCCCCCAGCCTGGGGCAGGTATGGGGCTGGCACCCCCTAGAGGGGAAAGGCCCCGTGTCCCATCCCCCATCCAGCCCGCCCCCCAGCCTGGGGCAGGTATGGGGCTGGCACCCCCTAGAGGGGAAAGGCCCCGTGTCCCATCCCCCATCCAGCCCGCCCCCCAGCCTGGGGCAGGTATGGGGCTGGCACCCCCTAGAGGGGAAAGGCCCCGTGTCCCATCCCCCATCCAGCCCGCCCCCCAGCCTGGGGCAGGTATGGGGCTGGCACCCCCTAGAGGGGAAAGGCCCCGTGTCCCATCCCCCATCCAGCCCGCCCCCCAGCCTGGGGCAGGTATGGGGCTGGCACCCCCTAGAGGGGAAAGGCCCCGTGTCCCATCCCCCATCCAGCCCGCCCCCCAGCCTGGGGCAGGTATGGGGCTGGCACCCCCTAGAGGGGAAAGGCCCCGTGTCCCATCCCCCATCCAGCCCGCCCCCCAGCCTGGGGCAGGTATGGGGCTGGCACCCCCTAGAGGGGAAAGGCCCCGTGTCCCATCCCCCATCCAGCCCGCCCCCCAGCCTGGGGCAGGTATGGGGCTGGCACCCCCTAGAGGGGAAAGGCCCCGTGTCCCATCCCCCATCCAGCCCGCCCCCCAGCCTGGGGCAGGTATGGGGCTGGCACCCCCTAGAGGGGAAAGGCCCCGTGTCCCATCCCCCATCCAGCCCGCCCCCCAGCCTGGGGCAGGTATGGGGCTGGCACCCCCTAGAGGGGAAAGGCCCCGTGTCCCATCCCCCATCCAGCCCGCCCCCCAGCCTGGGGCAGGTATGGGGCTGGCACCCCCTAGAGGGGAAAGGCCCCGTGTCCCATCCCCCATCCAGCCCGCCCCCCAGCCTGGGGCAGGTATGGGGCTGGCACCCCCTAGAGGGGAAAGGCCCCGTGTCCCATCCCCCATCCAGCCCGCCCCCCAGCCTGGGGCAGGTATGGGGCTGGCACCCCCTAGAGGGGAAAGGCCCCGTGTCCCATCCCCCATCCAGCCCGCCCCCCAGCCTGGGGCAGGTATGGGGCTGGCACCCCCTAGAGGGGAAAGGCCCCGTGTCCCATCCCCCATCCAGCCCGCCCCCCAGCCTGGGGCAGGTATGGGGCTGGCACCCCCTAGAGGGGAAAGGCCCCGTGTCCCATCCCCCATCCAGCCCGCCCCCCAGCCTGGGGCAGGTATGGGGCTGGCACCCCCTAGAGGGGAAAGGCCCCGTGTCCCATCCCCCATCCAGCCCGCCCCCCAGCCTGGGGCAGGTATGGGGCTGGCACCCCCTAGAGGGGAAAGGCCCCGTGTCCCATCCCCCATCCAGCCCGCCCCCCAGCCTGGGGCAGGTATGGGGCTGGCACCCCCTAGAGGGGAAAGGCCCCGTGTCCCATCCCCCATCCAGCCCGCCCCCCAGCCTGGGGCAGGTATGGGGCTGGCACCCCCTAGAGGGGAAAGGCCCCGTGTCCCATCCCCCATCCAGCCCGCCCCCCAGCCTGGGGCAGGTATGGGGCTGGCACCCCCTAGAGGGGAAAGGCCCCGTGTCCCATCCCCCATCCAGCCCGCCCCCCAGCCTGGGGCAGGTATGGGGCTGGCACCCCCTAGAGGGGAAAGGCCCCGTGTCCCATCCCCCATCCAGCCCGCCCCCCAGCCTGGGGCAGGTATTCTCTACAGCATGGTGCCCCCTCCCGGATCCCTGCCCCCTCCCTGCGGCATGGCGCCCCCACCGTCACACGGGGCCATAGGGCCGGGATGGGGCAGCAGGACAGGCTGACCACCCTCCCTGTTTCCATCTTGCGGCCCCGGGGGGGCGG